CTAGTGCTTGATAGTCATTTTTTCAGGATTATAATAGCGAATTGCATCGTTCAAGGTACCCACCACTGAATAAGGAAAACTACCATATGGAATATTTATCCAGTCATCCTAAAAGAAAATTTCTAATTTCAAGCAAATTTGCTCATAAATTTGACAACTAAACACGAGAAAGTGATCATTGATTACAACACATCCAAAATGAGGAACATTCACATTTTGTTGAAATCAACATTAAAGAAGTGATCTTCACGTAAAAAATTACTTAATCTGTCCATGAACAAAGAGAATGTCTTCACTTGAATTTATAGTACCTGACAGAAGTTTTTTAAATTTCTCTGTGCTACTGAGGAAGTGTACTTTGGGAGACTGGATGAAAACTGCCACCAGATTCATGTATAGCCATATTAGTCTCCTTTACATCACAGGAACATATAAAGTTACTAAGTGACTAAAAGCTAAAAGTAACTAACCCATTTATGCTGCTAAGTATTGTTATGTTTAAAATTCTATATTACAAATATTAAAGATTATTTGCTCCATTAGTCAAAATCTAAAAATGACCAAACAATTTACATCCCTTGTTGAGTGCATAATTAATTGTGGTCATGGTGGAACATCTCGTATTTTCATAGTTACCAACAGAAATATGACATATACAGAGACAGTAGAGCAACTAAAAAAGGATATAAGAATATTTGTTAATGCTAAAGCAGATAGAAAGAACCCCATACTTGTCCATTATAAATGAGCGAGAGTAAAATATATTTTTTGTATGCCTCAACAGCAATAGCATTCAATGATGGCATTGGAGCAGTCACAACCTGTAAGAAAAATACGGGTAGTGGCTGTCAGATCATCTAGAAGCATGTTAAATAAATGCAAATCAATAATAAGGAAGGAGTTCCAATTAGATGGTGCACATTATGAAGAAGCTCAAGCGCTTTGTGAAATAGCTTTAGTCCTACGCATATCATCCCCCTGACACACAAGAAAAATATTATCAGAAAATCCCTATTTACAAAGAAAGACAAAATTGAATATCAGCGCATGAATGATCTCATAAAATGAAATTATGTATCGCATGTTATTAAAAGGAGAATGTCAATCAGGAGATGATAGATTTGTCACAACTTACAACGTGCTTGCTCAACATGGTTTGTTGCTTCCCAATTATATAAATGTCTTTTATAAGACAGTTAAATGGTTTTATAAATGAAGTCTCGAGAAGCCTTATTTTATCCTATTTTTTATGAGAACCCAAACCTTCATTAAAAAGGAATGGAGGTACAAGTAACAAACTAAACAAAAAGTAAATGACTGAAACAAAAGGGACCAACCAAAGCAAAATAAACATTAGACAAACGGACTCTAGTTGTTAAAAATAAAAGATAAATGATGATTACAAAATAAAAAATAAAAAAAAAAGACATAAAGGCACAAAGGTAAGCATTGAAATAGCCCAACCATTCACCTCCTAATACTCCATCACACTTTAAAAAAGATCCCCTCCCTCTCTGGTCAACGAAGTACCTATCTATCTCTCTAGATCCTGTCAAAAATGTCATCCACCATGAGAAAGAGGCACAGAGACTGGGGATTTCTTTTTTATATGAGAAACATAAAATTTTGTATTAGTGAAAAGAAGCATACAAAAGGAGAGGGAACATGACTTATCCCCACCACACCAAAGGTTAACAAAAAAGCCTCCCAATAACAATGACAGAGAATCACCCTACCTAATTCTTTTAGTAGCAAAGCTTTTAACCTTTGGCTTGCTAACCACTAAGAGAATCTATGATGGAAGTTAGTTGCAGATAAGGATCATAAAGACAGCCCCTTCCTTCCTACAAGTCCAACTCCATATAATCTTAAATTGCTTCGTAAGCAACAATGGCTTCATCAAGAATCCATCTCCCAACAGAAAAAAAAAACAAAAAAAAAAAACAAAAAAAGAAAAGAAAAGAAAGAAAGAAAGAAAAAAAGAAAAAAAGACCCCAGAAACTGAAAATAGTGAGGAGACCACTACCTCATCAGCCTAGACTTTAGCATTAATTTTATATAAGTTAGTTACCAAGCTGATGGGTCTTGAGTCTTTCACTATCATGTATTGTCCTTCTTAAAAAGAAAATAGATGTAGGTCTTATTCATAGTCGCACCACTAAAAACACTAATGTAAAGTTCATCAGAAACCTTGACCAAGTCCTCCTTATTAGTATCTTGAAGGCCTTCCCCCTTGAAACTAAACACCATACTCCTTATCTCATCCAAGAAATAAATGGGGAATTCAACATTCCCTACACACACAGAAACCGTTAGATAGCTGAATGGTCAAAAGAATAAGCTATAGACCGAGAAGCCTTTGTGGTTATGGGGTCAAACTATAGTGCCACCTATTATGTATCTTACAAGTTTCAAGACACCAATGTTGCAGGGTCGAAAGGTTGTCCTCTAAAATTAGTCAAGTTGCACATAAACTGTGCAACTACATCAAACCCGCATGAGACTACTGCAAGTCTACAACAAAAGAAAGAATACAACAAAGAGTAAATATGATACTACCTCAGAGCAGCAGAGCTATAAAAAGGTCACAATAGAAATTTTTTACTAAACGGTAGCAAACTCATTTAGCCTTAAAAAAAAAAAAAAAAAAGATCTAGATTTACTACATAATATGACTCGCATGCAACATAAAATTTCTTAACATCATAGTTCTTGCTAGAAAAGCAAACAAACTCCAGCTGAAAGCATTGACAAGGCCTTTGAGGACTTACCATATTTTCGATGCATTGTAAAATTCTTAACGATGAAAATAGAAGGAAATCAACATACATGAGGGGGGTTGGGGGTTAAGAAAGAAAATATAGCATTTGCAAAAATTAACATATAATATAACGGTTGAGAGTTTGAAGAAGAAAAGCAACTCACCCGTAATAACAATAAAGAAACAGGTCTCTTGGTTGATCAACCTCGAGAATATCATTATCCAGTATGGATCTGCCAGTTTTATAGCACTTGGCTAATAAGCAGAGAAGAAGAAAATCCGGATGTAAACTGGTTAAATGTTCTGAAGAGGTCTGGAGTTTTCTAATGGCAGTATGAAGTGGAGCTACCCCTCTAATTGGAGCCTCAAGCATAACTTGATCTTTGAACCTCTTGCAAACAGAGGCGACTGCACGATCACCATATGGTGATAATAGATGTCAAAATTCCAGACAGCAGTAATCACATATGTTAAGAATAAGGATCAATTTGCACGATGATTTACATTTTTCAGGTGCTAAACGAATCTGCTCCTGGTTGCAAGAAGAGATAAATCTTGAAATAGTCAGAATAATTGAACTGGATTGGTCTTGTGAAATTGGTACAGATGTGCATGCCTCACTGCCAATATATTTAAAGAAAACAGTATGAATCAATCTCCTTTGCATACATTTCGCCTCAAATCACACACTCGAAATCAAAGTAAGGCAGTTTCAAATAACTAGAATAGTTAGACGTCGTATACAAGATGGCTGTTGTCCCTTCGTAGAGTCCTCAATAAAGGGTAAATCCTTAACCCTTCCCCCTCTTACTAAGACTACCGAATGTTCTCGTAAATTATGGCCAATACCAGGTATATAAGCAGTGATTTCAAATCCCGAGGTTAAGCGTAACACCAATCTTGGACTTCGTCCCTTGGAACTTGTACCAAAAGAAATGACGGTTTCACAAAAGCTCTCACTGATAGGAATGAATCCTCAAAAGAAGTGTAACATAAAGAAGGCGGGACCTAATTAAAACACCCAGATAGAATAATTCAGAGAAGAAAAACTTACAGAATGAAAAGATATCCTAAAGAATGTTCGGAAGCATCAAGTTGAGCCAATGCGGAAGGTAAACGAGCGGTGTCGGCGTGAAGTAGTTCTTCTGATTGCTTGAGAAGAGTGTGGAGGCGTGAAATATCACCGGCAGTACTCGACAAGCCTTGGATTTGTGCCACGAGAACTTCAACCGTGGCCATGGTCGGGTAATTGAAGCTCGTAGCTGCAGGAGGAGTATCTTTGAGAGAAGAAATTGAGATGAAGCTTCTACTTCTCGATCAGTCCTTTCTTTCTTGTAAAGTCAGAATCCGAACGGTGAATACCAGATCGGTAGAAGAAGGGACTGCACAAGTCATAACGACCCAACTACATCTTCTGGACTCAGCGTTATGTTCGACCCAACTACATCTTCTGGACTCAGCGTTATGTTCGACCCAACTACATCTTCTGGACTCAGCGTTATGTTCGGCCCAACAAGCTGCTACATTTGGAACTGAGCCCACGTCATACGGCCCAACTGCATCTTCTGGGCTCAGCGCTATGTCCGGCCCAACAAGCTGCTACATTTTGGAACTGAGCCCAAGTCATTCGGCCCAACTGGATTTTCTGGACTCAGCGCCATGTCCGGCCCAATGATCTGCTACTTTCGGAACTGAGCCCAATTTTACGGCCCAATAAGCTGCTACATTTGGAACTGAGCCCAAGTCATATGGCCCATTAATATTGACGTCAACGGACCATTAATATTGACGTAAACGGCCCATTAATATTGACGTCAACTGCACATTAATATTGACGTCAACGGCCCATTAATATTGACGTCTGCGGCCCATTTCATTAATATTTACGTCAACGGCCCATCCCAATTATTTGACGTCAATGGCCCATGAATATTGACGTCAACGGCCCATTAATATTAACGTCAACGGCCCATTAATATTGACGTCTGCGGCCCATTCCATTAATATTTACGTCAACGGCCCATCCCAATTATTTGACGTCAATGGCCCATGAATATTGACGTCAACGGCCCATTGATATTGACAACAGCAGCCCATTAATTTGACGTCTTCGGCCCATCCATTAATATTGACGTCATAGGCCCATCCCATTTATATTGCATCAATGGCCCATTAATATTGACGTCGATAATCCATTAACATCCATGGCCCATTCGAAAGAAACCGGCGGCATTTCCTGTGTACTATACAGTTTATCTCTTATTTTGTTTCCCAAGTTTCACATGGAGGATTCTGAAGAACTTTGACAGAGCATCAGCTTAACCAAGCTACACAGACATGGCCTCGCCAGCCAAACAAGACCAGCGAGGTCTCTCTCTCTCTCTCTCTCTCTATCTCGCTAAGCACATCCTCACTTGATTGCATTGATCATCGAGAAACTAATCATTTTTGTAATTATCGTCATTCTGTAATTGGATTGTACTATGAAGTTCTCACAATGTAACTATCAGCAACTTTCTTGCTATACGAGTCTGCAGCAATTTTCCTTTTCTCCTCAAAATATCTTTCACAAGTTTTGTAAATACGTTTTGTTAGCAGTTTCTGTAGCTATGTAGATCATGCTTTCCTTTTTGAGCCAAATTTTGCTGGATATAGCTTAATTCTTTGCATCTTCTTCGATTTTGTAGTCTCCAGAAAAAGGGTGGCTGTTGTTGGCGCTGGTGTCAGGTGTGTATGTTGTTATCTCCCATATCCTACTTTTTTCTAGCTTCTGCTTATGGGGCGGTGTTGTTACTGATGAGGCACTGAAATAAAGTTTATGTACTAATTTTTGAGTTGGGTAATGATAGTTCGATAATTTAATTGCATTTATGTTTATGAAGATTTAGTTTGATGGAAGTTTATAATGTTGTCTATTTGTCCTTGTTTGGTTTTTTTAAATCAGTATTTTTCACTTAAAATACTGGCTCTGGTTTTTAGTTATGGCTTCAAATTCAAATGTAATTTTCTTTCATCTGGCCAGTACTTTTGTGGGTGAAAAGAAAATCGGTCTATACATGAGTACTGATGCATGAATTGAGAGAAGTAATGCACCACTGGAGACTGTGAGAAACCATTCAATGGATTATCCCGCAGGGACCTAAGTGTTGACTCGGAAAGTCAAAGCTGAAATCCTTTAGAATTGTGGGACGAGATGGAGAAATAGTTGATCATCTCTTCATTAGCGTTCTTTCCTTTTACAGTTGAAGGGTGGCTCTTTATTTTGATCTCTTTTGACTTGTCTCTTTGCTTACCAAAACGTATTGATGAGTGGCTGCTTGAAGCGCTCACAGGAGGTGGTTCAAAGACAAAGCTAAAATCCTTTAGAATTGTGCAATTAGATCCTTTGCTATGACATATCTGAATCCGCATAAACCAAAGAAATTTTAGGAATAGAGAGGTTCTGGAATGAGATGGAATATCAATGCTTCAAAAAATTCCTGAAAGCTCTCACGTGATTCCATTGTTTTGTTCTTTTTCAATAATATTGTTTCTCAGTAATTTGATCATTTCTTTGTCCTGCGTAAACTCAGTATCCTCCAGTGAGACTGACTTTGATTTTGTGTGTATCATGGTTAAGTGGGCTCGCTGCAGCCTACAAATTGAAATCGCATGGCTTCAGTGTTACGGTGCTTGAAGCAGATGGAAGAGCTGGAGGAAAGCTAAGAAGCGTCTCATACAATGGACTTATCTGGGATGAAGGAGCCAATACAATGGCAAGCTTCCTTGACAATAATTTGACTAGCATTTTTCTTCACTAGGGCTTATCTTCAATTTTTTGAACTATCTCAAAATTTTCTACACTTGAATTAGCTGAACTATTTTCTTGAGTCTATGTAGACTGAAAGTGAACCAGAGGTCCAGTGCTTATTTGATGATCTTGGACTTCGAGAGAAACAACAATTTGTAATAGTTACTTCTTTCTTTTTTTATGATAGAATTTAATTTTCCATTTTGTACATGCATGGAAATCATTGAGTGGAATGTATGTAATTAGATTTATTGTTTTCCCTCATCCAGCCAATTTCTCAAAGCAAACGATACATAGTGAGGAATGGTCTGCCAGTACTGGTAAGTCCTTGCTTTTGTGCTTCTAATAAATAAATTAGGTATATCATGAGTTCTTCTTCTTCTTCTTCTTCTTTTTTTTTTTTTTTTTTTTTTTTTTTTTTTTTTTTTTTTTTTTTTTTT